GGGCGCGGCTCTCCGCGGGGCGCGCCTTCCCTCGCGAGGGTGGTGGGCGTACCCCGGCAGCACCAGCCCGTCCGCCGGCGCCAGGTGCCCGGCCCGAGCCAGCCCCGGCCCACCGGCGCGGAAGGGAGGACGAGAGGAGCGGGCGCTTGCCGCGACCTGCCTTCTGCCTTCGGGCCCGCGTCAGGAGGGCAGTCGGGGACGGGGATTTAGGAGCGTTTCCTGGGCAGCAAGGAGAAGCAGAGCCGCGCCTGGATTCCAGGATGGGGTCCGCGGGTGGCCAGGGGGGCTGTTTGTCTGGGGTAGGGTCACGGCGTGGGCCAAGTTGCCACCAGCCTGGTGCAAATATGGATTACGGATACGACCACTTAGCCGGCCTGACCCTGTAGAGAAATGCAAGGGTACGTGGAAAGAACAAAGGCAGCTGGGGAGGGAAGGCCCGGTGCTCTGTCACCTACCTGGGCGCCTGGCTGGACCTCTGGACCCGCCGGTGCCTAGTGCACTATAATTCCAAGTTACTTTTTATCTCCTAGGGAGACGGTAAGCCTGACCATTGCGTCTTTATCTTGAGACGTGGCCTTTCTCAGGTGCATCTACAATTCTTTATTTTTTTATATTGACTTCCCTGAGAGCCCAGCTCTCCGACTGTATATTAATTTCTATCTAACTTTGCTGTGTATAGTACAGAGTCAGGGCAGGTTGAAATGACGCGCCTGTCTCCAGGCACCTACACTGTACGGACACAAAGTCACTTCTCACAGCCGTGGAGGTGATGAGGAGTAAGGTAGGGATCGCCTGCTAATGTCTCATCTTCTGGCAGACGGCAGAAAACAGTCACAGGGCCGAGGGCCTCCCTTATAGGAAGCGTATTCTGTGACCACGGAGCCACTCATCAGCCCATGGAGGTGGTGTCCCCTGTACCCACACGCCTCCCGTTAGGCCCGGCAATTGACAACTGACACAACTGCCTTGGGATCAGATTTCCAGCGCTGGACTGTGGGGGACACATTCAAATCACAGCACTGTCCCTGACTCACTCCCCTCACCCTCACCTCTTTTCTCCTCTCATCCCCTTGTAGATCTGGGACACCTCTGTCACCCACTGGTCACTCAAATTATTGGCCTGTGTAACTGTTTGAACGTTTTAGTCAACGTTATAGATTATCCTTCCAACTATGCCAGAAATCCCTCAGAAGTAAGGATGATATCTTCTGTCAGAGGCAGGGGAGCCACTTTTGATCTGGAGCAGAGAAGTAACTTTACTGTTACATGATCTAATTCATAGGATATGTTAGGGAAACCCAGCCATGTACAAAACACTCTGGTAAGAAACCATGGTGTTGCCAGACTGGGAGTGTGTCTGTAGAATCGAGCTTTTGGTAATCTCTGCTTGTCAGAGCACATCTAGGCTGAGGGCTCTTCATCTTTTTAGCCAGCCTCCTTACTGGGAACTTTCCTACCTGAAACATAGCCCAGTACCAAGTAGTGCCGAGCCCAGTAACATCCCTAAGATATGGCGGCAACTAATTCCTGCAACAGTAAACAGAGTTGGGCTGACCAGCGTATACCCTCGGAGGTCTTTGTAGGGCCAGAACTTGTTCTCCTAATGCCTGGGGAGGCTGCACAATAAAAAGGGGATCATTGATTCAGTGCAGATTTTATCTGGAAATTGACAGTGGTGCCTACGCTTTGGGACTTGACATCCTTGGCTCGTGCTTCGTCTTGCAGTAGATGAAAGAGCTGTCCTTGACTGTGCCAAGAAGTCCCCATGGGACTGGGCCATCTACCCAGCCATCCTGAGTGCTTGGACTGTATCTTCTTAAAACAAGGAAAGTAGCTGCCTGTAATGTGCACCTTGAGAGCAGCCAACTTCAGCCATGGCGTGGACCAGGTCTCCTCCTCCACTGCTGCCTTCTTGCATTTTGGTCGTGCCCTTCATGCGTATCTCAAGCCAACCTCACCATCCGCCTCCAAATCTTCCTTCTGAAGACGTGCTGACCAGTTACCTAGCTAAGCAGTGTTTGGATTGGGAGATAGCCATCAGTTACTTTGACCTCTTAGGAAAGTGTATCTCTTGCTCCACATGCTGTGCCCCAGAGCTGTGGCCCAAAGAACAGTCTTGAAAGCAGCCTGTATGTCCACTTCAGATGAAGCAGATATGGCATTAACATACAGGGGAGTACTACTCTGCGAAAAGATAAATTTGAGTCATTTGTAGGAAAATGGATGCACCCTCAGACCCTAATGGCAAATAAGCCAGATTGCACAACCTTTAATGATGTGGTTTCTTTTATATGAGGAACTCAAAATAGAAATAAAGAGCAAAATAAAAGATAGGTAATAGGAAGGAGGAGAGAGATCGTTCTCAAATAGGAAGGGGACCAAGAGATGGAGAGGAAGGATGAAAAGGGAGAAATGGATGAAAAAAGGATCAGGGTGTGTTGCATCCACGTTCCAGCTCCACACAGGAGTGTAAGCGTTATGTGCTGCAGACACATACTAACAACAAAAGGCTTCAGAAGTGCAAAAAGTACCGAACCATGAGGGCCTGAGCTGCTGTATGCTCCGAGCAGCAGGCTGTGACTGATGCTTCTGCGCCACACCCTGCCTCAGCTGTGGGGTGGCCTCGGGTGTGTGCTGTAGCCACCTGACAGGGCGCCGTCCAGTGTTTGCTGATGGCCAGTAGTGTTGCACATCTCACCGCTGTGTTTGCTGTCTGTACATCCTTTTCAATGATGTATATGCTTACGTATTTTGCCCATTTTCTAACTTAAGCTTTGAAAATTATTTGTATTCTATAGATATTGGCCCATTGTCAGATATGTGCTTTGCAAATATTTTCTGCAGGTGTTTGTCTTACCATCTTCAAGCAGAAGTTTTTAATTTGATGACGTCCAGCTTATTGCCCTTTCAGGGAAAGCTCCCCTGGTGGTGCGTGCCTGTAGTCCCAGCACTTGGGACACTGAGGCAGGATAGCTGAGTTCAAGAGCAGCGTGCACCAAATAGAGATCTTGTCTCAGAAAAAAAGAGAAATCCAGTTTATTGGCTATGTGATGGTTTATGCTTTTGTATCAAGTCCAGTAATTCTTTCTAAAAATATATTTATTTTTTATTAGTATGTATTTTAAGTACATAACGATTACATCCATTGCAGAGTGTAAGTACATGTCCTGCCTCCCTCCATCTCAAGATTCCCTTCCCAGTTACCAAAGACCCATTTCCTGTTGTCCCTCTCAGGTTTAAGAATTCTTTGTCTTACCTGAGGTCTCAAAGATTTCTCCTAAAACTTAATGGGTTTTGAAATTGCATATAAGTCTATAGCCTCTATGAGTTCATTTTTGTATAAGGTGAGATATTTGTGTTGATGTTTACTTACTTTTGCCTGCTTGATATTATTGAGCTCCAGCACCAGTTTAGAACAGTGTTTAGTGTGTTGCTAGGTAGCCTCCTATGGTCAAAATAACCAAGGCATGCAAACGATGACATCCTTCGTGGTGAGGACACATTGCAGTGGACACTAGCAGGTGGTGCCCACATCCCCTTTCAGGGAAGGACTCGTTGCCCCAACTGCAGTGAGTGCTTCGGAGATACCTTCCACGTTAGTCGTGCCGGGAGCACATCTGCTCTAAGGAGCCCTTGTACCAAGGTCATGCCCTTCCAGGGAAGGCTCCCGTCTCACGATGCTAGGAGTACGAAGGACCAGCCATGCTGGGGTGGGATGGTTCTGTCAAGCCGTTTCTGCTCTGAATTCTGTGTAGCTCAAGCTGCTGCACCCACACCACAGCTCAAACTCTGTCTCGTGCCTCTGTCTCCCCTTTCCCGGGTGTGGGTCGCAGGGCACTCCTGAACGTTCACCTCGGTCTGGGAGGTTGCTCCCTGGAAGACCCAAGGAAGACACTCGTTTTGTGCTCACTTAAGGGGAAGCATGAAATTTGGCGTAGGTAGTGAGGTCAGTGACGAGGTCGCAAGTTGATGAACTTTCTACCACTGGGACGGGTGCCTGTCACCCACACTCCTGACACCACTGCAGGGGAAGAAAGTAGGAAAGAAGCAGGTGTGGGTAGTAGGATCAGCACCGCAGGTCGGAGGATCAAGGGGCACAGAGAGAGATGTGAGACGCCGCCACCTCCATTCCAGGTTTGTGGTCCCATCTTTCGGAAGGTGGGTGTGGGTGTGAACAGTTTTACACCAGTACAGCAGAGCCAAACAGCCGTATCAAAATGTGATTAAAATAGAACCTTTGAAATAATCCCGTAACTCAGCTTGCTTTCTCTGTAACAAAATACCTGAGATACTCATTTCAAAAGGAAAATTTTTTCGTGACTCATTTTCACAGGCTCTAGCCCATGGTCATTTGGCTCTGCCTCTCTGCACATCAGAGCAGGACCATGTGACTGAGGAAGCTCGCTCCCTCTGAGCAGCTGGGAAGCAAGAAGAGAGAAGGGCGAGGCCCCAGGGCCTTAGTGGCCTGCCTGTCTTCCCCTAGATCCCAGCTCCAGGAGGTTCAGCCACCTTTCGGTTACCGTTCCAGGCCGGTGGCTAATCCTTTAGTGCAGTGGCCTTACAGGACATTAAGATCCAAATATAACCATTTCCCACCTCATTCAAACTCTGATGCCAATATCCTTTGGGTAATTTTAATATAATCCTTAGGAAAACCCAGGCCAAAACTAAGAAGGAAGGCAAAGGAGTCATTGCACAATTTCAAGCTCCAATATCCTTTTGGGTGGGGCAGAAGGAGAGGAAAGAAGAGGCCCGGGTTTAATTTCCTGTCATGCTCTCTGGCCCCAGGACTTAAAGTCACGATGATTTGGTGGGGAGAATCAAAGTTCCGGCC